AAAATCCTTTAAAATTAAAAAAGTTTTTTCAAAAAAGATTTCTTAATTTGGACAAGATATAGTATGATGTCTTTATTTCCACTTTGACTAATATGATAAAGGAATAAGTGGGGAAGTATGAGTCAAAAAAGGAGTGGGGGAAAGAAAAAAAATCATTATTTAAAAAAATTGATTTCTCGGCTACATCAAGAAATTTCAATTGAATTGGACTCTCTCTACGTGGTATGCACTGTTTTCCAGCTGTTTTAATTACAATCTACTAAATTATTAGATATCATAAATTGTAAGAATCCATAACAATGGACAAGACTATGATCCAGCCCAGTAAAAAATATTCTTGGGAAAACTATTGCAAGGAAATACACAAATGTGGGCTCCTACAGAAGCAATGATAAGCAGAAACAAGAGTTAGGTTACCTTCTCCCTTGAGTAAAAAGCTATTCTACTCCAACACACCACTATAAAGCAGTCTCAGTTGTTCTCTTGAAATACATCCTCACTCACTGACTCACACTGTTAAATCCTGTTATGCTACCAGTAACGTCCATAGTCATAGAGAGAACCAGTAAATACTTCAGTATTGTCAAATTATAATGATTACACATTTTCATAAGTGATGACACATATCTGTGAGGGCTATCATCACCTCTTGAGTGAGACCCCTTGCATTATGGCTACTTGGCATGGGGCTACTGGTGACAGGAGCAACAGTGAACCAGTACTTACTAACCATGCACAGGCTGCAGGGCCATGTACTGGGTGCTTGAAAGTTCATGATAAAGATCGGCATCCCTATCTTCTGCGAGTTTCATTAGCAAAAAGCATTTATTATCACAAAGAAGTGGGAATCTCACTATGATCCAAGTCAGGGACCAAACACTAGTTGGCTATTAATTTAATATGGTGGAGCAGAAGAATATGAAATACTCTCTCCTAACACACATGGAAGTGTATCAAATAAAAAGAGGGAGTATAAAGACTTTAAAATGAACTTTAGAGACAAAAATTGTACATAGTTAAATGTCAGCACTACAAAATTACAGAAAGATTGGAATAGCTTAAGCTGAAAATTTTTTTTGGTTATATTTGAAGAAAGATGTTCATAGTCCTCTAGCTACTAAAATTTTGAGTGTAATTCATGGCAACACAATGTTTCTTTAGTAAATATGAAAATGGTGCTACAGAATCTTTAGTCAAAAGTTGTACTGAAATTGAAATTGTAATGAAAGATTTTTAAAGATGCACCTTCTCTATCTTGACCAACGGCGCACATTTGTGACATAATTAGCTGGAGTTGAGGATGCAGTCTGGGCCCACACAGACTGGATCAAAACTAATTGGACTTTGTGGCAAATGAACTCATGACCTAGACCTCATTAGTCATGATCTAACCAACTGACTTCACGGGCCATAGAAAATTCATGTTGGCATGAGATGTTTACTTTGAATTATTTCTGCACTTAAATGGGGCCTATAATTTTAAAGAGCCAACTTTAGAGATGCTGATTTTCTAAGGTTTTGTGAATGAATGAACTCACCAATCTCACATTTACCTATGATATGGAAGACCCTAATGTCAGCGGTCGGGTAGTTTTAAAAGGCACAAGGCAATATGCAGAAGTCAGAACCATAAATAGGAGAGGAAAATATTTTTTAAAAAACCTAGAGCACATAATTGTACGGTGATAACTAATGTTTATTGAGTGTTTACAATTTCTCAGAAGCTACACAAAATACTTTTGATAAGCTATCTCCATATTTCATAAATGAAGAAAGTGAAGCAGGCTGTGTGTCTTTCACAAAGTCGCACATTAGTAATCACTCTCTTCTACCTTGGGTCAATGATAAATGACCGTGATAGATACTACGGAGTTAACTCTCTCAACACCCATGCCAACTATCCTTTTCCCTTGCTGCCATCTACCATATAGACATGAAAGCTACAAACCTGCATTCCTAGATTCTTCTGCAGCTAGCTACTACTTTTTTTTTTTAATTAATTATTTTTGGCTGCACTGGGTCTTTGTTGCTGCGCGCAGGCTTTCTCTAGCTGCGGTGAGCGGGGGCTACTCTTCGTTGTGGTGCGCGGGCTTCTTATTGCTGTGGCTTTTCTTGTTGCGGAGCATGGGCTCTAGGTGCTCGGGCTTCAGTAGTTGCAGCACACGTGGGCTCAGTAGTTGTGGCGCACAGGCTTAGTTACTCTGCGACATGTGGGATCTTCCTGGACCAGGGCTCAAACCTGTGTCCCCTGCATTGGCAGGCGGATTCTTAACCACTGTGCCACCACAGAAGTCCCCTAACTACTACTTTGTTACACAGTTATGGCCAATGAGATATAAGCAAAATGGACCTGGGAGTTTCTGGGAAAGCGTGTGTGTGTGTGTGTACATATATATATATGTACGTATATAACATATATGACATATCCTCTTCTTCCACCTTCCCTCTTCTTGCTGTCTGGAATACAGATGTGATGGCTGTAACCAAAGCAAATTTACTACTGTACCAGCAAATCTTGGCCCTGATATCCTTGAGCTGCTAAACTAATGTCAGCCACAGACTAAGAGGAAGTACAATTGTAGATGTTTCTACAGGCTCATTTCCTGTCATCTTTGGGTAGCTTAGCACTAAGCTGGCTCAGCTGGTCTAAGTTAATCCTAATGGAAGAACAGGCTGATGGAACTGAGCTTCAGAGGCAACCCACTCCTCCCTAGATAAGAAAGCCATTTTTTTTCTACTATATAACCAGTTAATGTCTACTGCCCTGATCCCTAGAAATATGTAGCACTCTGTGAGGCCAGAGATCTTCTACTGGAGCAATTTCCATGGTACAATCCAGTCTAACTAGAGGGATGTGGTTTATGCCAGCTTGTAAGATTTTCTCCACTAAGGTTTATTTTATATCTGCACCACATGGTGTCAGTTATTTGCACAATATGCTACCTCTGGATTTCTTACTACCTGACAAAAATCAAAGTCCTAATTTGTTTAAACCTCTTTTTGTCAGATTTTCTTGGTTTCTTAGCTGACAGAATGCTGTAATAAATGTAAGATAACATGTTATGGAATGGCAGAATGATAACTTAGCCCTCCAGTGGGGTCTGGTAAGGCTTTACCTAGGATATCTTTGAACTAGGAGAACACACTAGGTAGGAAATGGTACCTTCTTGAACAAAGTTAGAGTATATAATGACCTTACTCTGAGGTAGTTGTGACAGATCTACCACAGGCAAGGATGAAACGACAATACAATTCAGTGACCTCTAGCAGTGTCTAGAAACCCATTTATTTTCCCTGATAGCATAAAGGACCAAGTGGCAGGCATCCCTATTTTTTTTCGGGATAAATGCCAACAGGAGTTTGGATTTATGGTAGAGATTCCAAAAGCAGGCTCCAGGATGCCCTGGCCTTACACAACAAAGAGGTAAAAAAATATTCAGTGTGTCTAAAATATGTAAAGTATTATAGATTCACTAGAGTAACAGAAATGTATTGACCCTTTATTATGTGTCAATCACCTAAATAGATGTAAATACAATAACAAAATGACAACAGTTCCCATTCAGGGAGAGTTCTTCTTAGTGTGATAAATATCAATAAGCGTTCATAGCACCATGCGGAAGTGGAAGTCTGGGTATAGTGCTGTCTTTACCGTACAGGGGACAAATAAGTTAACTGCAGAGGAGAGCCAGGGTCCGCGTCTCAAGGGAGGGGGTGATGTGTTAGTCTATAAAGATATCGCTATACTGGGGGTAGTGGTTTTGGAAGGAAAGAGAAAAGGCAGAGAATGATATTCCAGCAGAGAAAACAAACCACAGGTCCAAAAATACAGAGGTGTGAAAGGAGAGTACTTGGGGAAACAAGCACAAAGTTGGTTGTTCCTAGAACAGGTGGAAGATGAAGCTAGAGAGGTAGGAAGGGGGAGAATGCCAAGGTGGAGAGTTTCGCTTTATTTTATAGGTAATGGAGATTTAAAGGCAGTGGTGATTTAGGCAGATTCAGTGACCAAAAGCAATGAGAAAAGAGAGACAGTCAAGATCAATGAAGAGTTTTCAGTTTTGTATCATCTACTGTATACCAGGCCCTGTGCTAGTTGCTTTACATACATAGCCTTAAATCCTCAGAACAATCCAGAAAGAGTAAGGCAATTACCCTCCCACTTCCCAGGAAAGAGTAAAAAAAGCTCAGAATAGTTAAGTACTTTGACCATGATTATAAAACTAATAGATAGTTAAACCAGGATTTTAAGTTGTTTAGTTATAATAATAGGTAACAATAAATGCATTTTCTACATACCATACACTCTTCTGGTGTTAGATTTATTGCAGTGGAACAAAAACAACATCAACAAAAAACGGACAAAAATCCCTGCCCTCATAGAGTTACAGGTTGGTGTCATGGGAATCTATGAAATCACCCAAGGAGTAGGTGCAATAAGAATAAAGAAAGCAGAGGTTATCAACCTAGGGCACACAGAAGAGTCAATGAGAGAATTTGAATTCATTTTAGAACTTAGAGATCCAACAGATTGCAAACAAAAATCTGTGGTAAATGAAAACAAACCTGGTGACTTATAATAGTTATTAGTCCCTTTATTTATAATAACATCCTGAATCTTAACCCAAAGTGTCTGAAAAACTCAAATGAAATAAATGTACAAATTGACATTACTGTTGATGCAAAGGAGATGGGTTGGGAGTTTTAGGGGGACGAGAAGTTCAGACAGGAAAATAAGATTTATTGAGTACCAGGCACTTTTACGTAAAGTAAGTACCTATTTAATAAATGCAAAAAACCCTCCTAATATAGTAATTTTATATTAGTTTACAGAAAACACGTACACAAAAATTCACCTTATTGGTGAATATTGTTCTTAGCAAACATACATCGGCTTAAGCTCAAACATCAATTTGGGACAAGTAGAAGGTGTCAGAAAGTACCTTACTTTTCTCTAACCGAGGTAGCGGGAGAATGAATACAACTCCCATACATAAACTTACATTGCTCCATTGGTATAGACAGTGTCGCTTCCTTCCACGTACTGCACCTGAGCTGGATAGACATGCTGTACCTGCTGCACAGTCTGTACCTGCTGCACCTGGAAAGCAAATATTAGGACTTTGGTGAGGGGCAGATACAATAGAATGAATATACAGCATTAGATTTACCTCAAAGATTTCTCTAGGGTGTTGATAAACATGAGAATGTTTTACGATGAAAACTGTTAGGTTCATGCTAATTTCAAGGTAAGTGCATGTTGAGTCCAAATCAACTGTAGCATTTATGCAAATAAATTCTGTAACATTCTTGCAGGTATATATGTACATACACACTTAAGTGTTTAGGGTGAAATTCTGAAAGCTCTGCACTTATTTTGATGATTTATGAAATTCTCTTCACCTGGCTTGTGAATGCTACATGTATTTTTAAATTATGAAATTCACAATGGAAAAGTTCAAACACTTATACATAGAAAAAATACTATAATAAACCCCATGTAATCATCATCCAAGATAAATAAATGTCACTAGACCTTCCCCTTTAGCCCCTCACGGGATTATTTAAAAGTAAGTACAGAACTTGCATCATTTCACTGGTAATATTTCACTTTTTTCCTAAGAGAAAAGAGCTACGTTTAACATGAACACAATACTAACATCAGAAATAAAACATTAACAATTCCTTAATATCATATAAACCCCAGTGATTGTTCAACTTTCTCTAATTATTCCAATGTCTTCTTAGAGTTGGCTTGTTCAAATCAGATCAAAACAAGGTCTACATGTTACATCCAGTTGATATTTCCTATCTTTCTCTTTTAATCTCTAACAGTTTCCCATCCTTTTTATATCTTGACTATTAGTTATTGAAAAAACTGGATCATTTATCTAGTAGAATTTCTAGAATGCTAAATTTGGCTGATAGCATCCCTGAGATGTCATTTAATAAATTCCTCTATCTTCGTATTTCCTATAAATGAGTAGTTACATCAAGGGCCTTGAATAGATTCAATTTTTAAAAAGCTGTGTACTTCTTATTGCATCATATAGGTTGCCATAGAACAGCTGGTTGTCTCTCATTCTGCAATATTATTTGATCAGGGGGTTCAGGTGTTGTCAGTTGGATACATTGATTATAATGTTTCCTATCCATGTTTTACCTGAGGATATCACTAGTCATTGATGATCATTTTTTAGAGGGGTTATTTCAATTAATAAAAGGCTGCAATCTTATGGTAATCTGATTCTGTTATGCCCTCTTCATTTATTAGTAGAATTCTAAAAAGGAATTCCTCTTACTCGTATTTGCTTACTCTGAAATAAGGTTTGTACAGGAAGAATAGGATAAATGCATGATTCATTATTTACCAGTACTCAGAATAATGATTTTTTCCCCCTAGCTCCCTCCCCAAGGTGACCAATGTTGCTTTTAGTTTGATTTTGCTTGTATCCTTATGATTTTTAACTTTTTAACATACTGTATTTGATTTTTTTAAACACAGCAGTCTTTTTTTCCCCTAAAATTGTCCCATCTTTGACCAGTGATAGTCCCTTCAAACTGTATTCTGTGTCTTTTGACATGACTACAGTAATCTTTCTCTAACTCCCATGCTTTCTGTTATGATAAGATGGACCAGACCTACCTCTTGTATTTCCTGTCCTAGATCTGAAATCAACTATTTCTTTAAAAACCCCTGGGTCTTATTATTTAGGAGTAATATAAATATGCAAAAACTGTTCAGGAAAGCAACAGGCAAACTATTTGACATCTTTGTGATTTCTTCTGCAGAAGCATTCACCATCTGAAGAGTTGCTGTACAATATTATTTTTAAAAATACAGTTTATGAGAGCAAGAAGTTAGAAAGAAAAGCCTTAATGACTGTGAAAAGCAGAGTAATTAAATAAATATAGGAAACCATTCTGTAGAATACATGGTTGATGTTAAAAGATTAAGTAAGACTGATACATACTTTAATAGCAAGATCTCTAAAACATATTCTAAGTGAAAAAGTATGTTGCTGAAAAATACCTACAGTGTAATTTGATTTATGTATATATCTGCATACATGGGCACATGTGCATACAAATGTACTTAAATATATAAAGGAAAATAGAAGGAGGCACACCAAACTTCTAAAAATGGTTACTTGGCTGAGCGACATTAAATGAGATGGAAGAGGGCTTCCCTGGTGGTGCAGTGGTTAAGAATCCACCTGCCAATGCAGGGGACACAGGTTCAATCCCTGGTCCGGGAAGATCCCACATGCCGCGGAGCAACTAAGCCCATGTGCCACGACTACTAAGCCTGTGCTCTAGAGCCCACCAGCCACAACTACTGAGCCCGCGTGCCTAGAGCCCGTGCTCCGCAACAAGAGAAGCCACCACAATGAGAAGCCCGCGCACCACAACGAAGAGTAGCCCCCAATCTCTGTGGCTAGAGAAAGCCCTCCCACAGCAATGAAGACCCAACAGAGCCAAAAATAAAAACAAATAAATAAATAAATTTATTTAAAAAAAATGAGATGGAAGAGATGATGTGACTAATATCCTTTATGAATTCATATCTTGTATCTATTATATCAAATATATATCTCGATATATGGAAGGATTTCCACTTCTGGCCATGATGGAGTAAATACTACTGGAAATGCCCTCCCCCCCAACTAAACAAGTAGATAAGTAGATAAAATATGTAAAACAATGTTTTCAGTCATTCAACAAAATGTACCGTAAGATTGTGTTCCTTAAAAGAAGGAAAAAAAGTAATGTGAACCCTATAATGATCTTAGCTTTTGACCTGGATGTAATCAGAGTGCAGAGCAAGAATGGAGAAACGAAGCAGAGCATCATGATCTCACTGAGGTGAGGAGACAGACACTGAATTTGGGAAAGCTGAGTCACCTGAAGTTTGGCGGCAGTATCAGAAAGGAACTTAAGCAGAGAAATAGATCCAGAAATGTTCACAGAGATCCCCTTGAGTCTGATGTTGAATACAAGCTGCACGTGTGTAGGGGGGCAGAGATGCTCAAATTCTGACCATCCACAGTGACATGACCTTATTGAACACCTAGGGCATTCTGTAGAAACACCAGAAGGGCAGAGCGAGCCTTAGCAGAAGGGCTAAATTAGGTCTAGAATAAAGACTACTTTAGGTCCATCCTAACAAATCTGAAAGAAAAGCCTTGATAATATCCACAAGTAACTGCCTATACAGAACTACATTTAACATTTTTAAAGGAAGACATCAAAATCCAGACATATAAAACCATAAGAACCATCTCACACCAGTCAGAATGGCCATCATCAAAAAATCTAGAAACAATAAATGCTGGAGAGGGAGAAAAGGGAACACTCTTGCACTGCTGGTGGGAATGTGAATTGGTTCAGCCACTATGGAGAACAGTATGGAGGTTCCTTAAAAAGCTACAAATAGAACTACCATATGACCCAGCAATCCCACTACTGGGCATATACCCTGAGAAAACCGAAATTCAAAAAGAGTCATGTACCAAAATGTTCATTGCAGCTCTATTTACAATAGCCCGGAGATGGAAACAACCTAAGTGCCCATCAGCAGATGAATGGATAAAGAAGATGTGGCACATATATACAATGGAATATTACTCAGCCATAAAAAGAAACGAAATTGAGCTATTTGTAATGAGGTGGATGGACCTAGAGTCTGTCATACAGAGTGAAGTAAGTCAGAAAGAAAAAGACAAATACCGTATGCTAACACATATATATGGAATTTAAGAAAAAAAAAATGTCATGAAGAACCTAGGGGGTAAGGCAGGAATAAAGACGCAGACCTCCTAGGGAACAGACTTGAGGTTATGGGGAGGGGGAAGGGTGAGCTGTGACAGGGCGAGAGAGAGTCATGGACATATACACACTAACAAACATAGTAAGGTAGATAGCTAGTGGGAAGCAGCCGCATGGCACAGGGATATTGGCTCGGTGCTTTGTGACAGCCTGGAGGGGTGGGATAGGGAGGGTGGGAGGGAGGGAGACGCAAGAGGGAAGAGATATGGGAACATATGTATATGTATAGCTGATTCACTTTGTTGTAAAGCAGAAACTAACACACCATTGTAGAGCAATTATACCCCAATAAAGATATTAAAAAAAAAAAAAAAACATAAGAACCATAATGTCCAGCATTCAAAAAAAATTATTAGACACATGAAGAAGCAGAAAAATGTGATATATAACCAGGAAGAAAATAAATCAACAGAAACAAATCTAGAAATGGAAGATATGAAGTGGCAGACAGAGACATTAAAACAGCTGTTCTAAATAGACTTAAGATTTAAAGGAAAACACAAACATGATGAGAAAAACAGAAGCTATAACGAACCAAGTCAAATTTGTAGAGCTGAAAAATACAGTATCTGAAATGAAAAATTTGCTGAATGGAATTGAGAGCAGATTACATAATGCAGAAGAAAAGACAAATCAAGTTGAAAACCTAGCAGTAAAAACTATCTGAAGAACAGAGAAAAAAAAGGAAATAATGAAGAATAGAGAACCAATGAACTATGGAACAATATCAAGTAGTCTAAAACAGTATAACTATAGTCCCAGAAGAAGAAGAAGAACAGAAAATATATTTGAAGAAAAAGTGGTAGAAACATCCAAATTTTATTAAAACTATAAACACTGTAAGAAGCTTAACATATGCCAATGTATAGAAAAAGAAAACCAAGCCAAAGTGCATCATAATTAGAGTGCTAAAAACCCGTATCAAGGAGAAAAATTTTTAAGCAAGACAGAAAACAGACGCATTATGTACAACGCAACAGGTATCAGAATGATTGAAAACTTCCCAGTCAAAAATAATGCAAGCCTAAGACAATCAAACAACGTATTTAAAGCAGTGAGAGGAAAATTTCAATCAAGAATCCCACAACCAGTGAAATATCTTCAAAAATGAAGAGGAAATCCTTTCTCAGACAAAAACTGAGAGAATTCATCCTGCTCTAGCAGATATCCAGTGAAGGTAGCCACAAAGGAAGCCCTTTGGACTGAAGAAAAATAATACCAGATGGAAAACTGGACCTATACAAAGAAATGAGGAGCACTAGAAATGGTAAC